TATTTAGTTTATTTAGCAATTTAAAGCTGGTTGGTTTTATTTTTTGAGAAAAATGAAATCATATTTCATCTAAAATTAGAAGATACGGTATCTAAGATGTAGTCATACATTCAGATATACATTGACTATATTTTGCATAAATAAACTCTTAACATATTAAACAGTTATACGAAAAAACAATTAGTTCGAATTTAAGGTGATACAGAAAAACAATAAGTCATTTGAGAGATTACTGTAGAATATGTTGATTTGAATTGATTTGATTAATTGGAAAAATGGACGATATGCAGGAGCAATGGAGCAAATTACAAAAAATTTGGCATGTTAGTGGGCAGAGGACAATATTCGAGTTAATGCAATTGTACCAGGATTTATTCATACCCCTCTCGCAAATTATGCACAGGTTTTTCAATTTCAATATATATATATATAGTATAGACAATAGTTACTAAGTACTTAAATGAATAAAAAAAAAACCAATTTTTTTCTCAATTTTGATTAATCAAATCACAAACTATTTTACATGTATAAATATTGAATTAATTAACATCGTCCTCTTTTACATGAATCTCATTGATTTCACTCGTCGCATTCTCCTCTCTCAAGAAGGAAACCCTAATGAGTGTTGGGAAAAATTACGCAAAATTCCTAATAAGTCAGAAAATAATACACAATTTGATAACGGAGTGATAACGGAGTTCGGCCAATCTTGCCTACGTCTCCCGACTGCCACAGATCTTTTATAGGAGAAAAATAAATAAAGTGTTTATATACACTCACAACTCTCTATTCAAGAATACCCGAAAAATTAAGCTTAATTTTTCTTCTTGAATAATCTCACTTATTTTTCTCTCTCACAATTGCTCTCCTATTTTTGGTGTAAGTAGATGCAAATTCTCTCCTCTATTTATAGGAGAGAAAATGCGTGAATGAGCTATGCAATTCAAATGTAAATTGGCCACCAATTCCAATTTGCACAAATTGAATATCTGCCACCTACCTTCATTATTTTCTTCCTTCCTTTGTTGATTAGTACAATACAAATGCAAATTGGCCACCAATTCCAAATGTTTGTTTTATTTTCAACCTTTGCCAACATACTTTGACAATGAGGCATCATCAGTACTGGTATTCCTTTGTTTACCTGCTTCTTCATATATCACTGGCCAAGTTATAATTGTGGATGGAGGACACACTGCGAATGGCTTCTAAGTTTTACCCAAATAATAAAAACTAAATAAATGCTTTGTGGTATCCTAAATTAGACTATATATAATTTAATAGTTGATTTTATTTATATAAAGTTCCAACTTGTAGGGCAATCAGATATATCTATGTAGTATCTTTATTCCCTTATGGGGATAATGACAAAATAAATAATAATATTAATAAATTATTTTTTATAATTTTATTACAAACTTTCAATTTCGAAAATTTTTTGCATAGAATTTAAAATTTTCATAATATTATTGTGAAGTTACCTTTAGTATATTATGTTCTTTACCATGTTACCTTTAGTATATTATGTTCTTTACCATAAGCTGCTGTTCTAGGAAACAGTAGATAGTGCCAAAGGTGTTTGTCAAAATTTTCTTTGCTTTCAATTGATGGAAAACAAAACACAATGGAAGCCATGAGATCGCATATATATAATATACAAGCAAACCACAGTGCTACAGAAAATATAAAATCAAAGTTATGAAATCATAAAATCTTCTAAGCGAAAGAAATCAGCACCGATTTCGATTTTTCTTCCATGCAATAGCTTTTGCGCGAACAGCTTCTGCTCTACCAAAAACAAACTAATTTTCTCTGTAATCTCCTGTTGTGTGACCTAAGCTGTTTCTTTAGAACTATTTGTGTGGGTAGACGGCTATTGAGAGAGGAAAAACGAAATATGGAAGACTAACGTCTATGTTTAGTCTAAACGTCTCTTATATATTTTCCTAAAATTAACATTAACAAAAACGATATATATATATATATATAATTATATCATATAAATCACTCGTACCATCGTATAGTTTTGCAAATATTTATATTAAAATTTAATTAAACCCACTTAATTAGCTTTAAATATTGCAGGCCACAATAGAGACCCACGCGGAATTAGTTTAGTCTAAACGTCTCTTATATATTTTCCTAAAATTAACATTAACAAAAACGATATATATATATATATATAATCACGTTTTGCAATATTTATATTAAATTTAATTAACCACTTAATTAGCTTTAAATAATGCAGGCACAATAGAGACCCACGGGAATAAAATTAATGAGGCTACCTTATAATAATAATAATAATAATAATAATGTATTTATACAACCTGTAAAACATTATTATAACAAAATTATGAATTATTCCACTAAAAATTTATAATTGAACTCCTCATTAATTTTGAATCTCCTAATATTAAAATATACAAACTACCTATGTTAAGATTACAGACACTTGTTAATTAAATTAAATTACCGACTATTTTATTTAATTGGCAATTTAATTCCTCAAGAATTTCACTTAACTTATTTCATGTGTCGCATTACAAAATCCACCTATAAAGTTTTACATAATGAAAACTTATAAGCTTCTGTAGGGGAATCATCAATCTCTATACCGAGACATGGACTCTATCAATAAATTTATATTTGACAAATGCATATTGTTATTGTCCAACTCAGTGAGTTTATTGTTCCATGATGAAACTTACCCTTTTAATGAATCAAAGAAATAGACAAACATACATTGCTTATAACCATTGTTATGAAAATTGGACCAGCCGGTTTAACCGATTTGGTCGGGAACCGGACTGTGGTCCGGTCCGAGTTGTATAAAAAAATCATATGTTCAAAAAGTCGGCCTAAACCAGTAAAAATCGGATGAAAATCGACTAAAAACCAAATGAAAATTGGCTAAAAATTGATGAACCAGACCGATTAAAAATCGGTTCGATTCAATTTCTGAGTTTTTAAAAAATGTGGGCTTTTTAAAAATTTGGGCTCTTAGAAACTGTGTCCACTGATTTTTTAATTTTTGGGTCTCTTTATTTTTAAACCCAAAGTCCTAATATGTTAATTAAATGAAAAATAATAATATGTTTTATGGCAATTAATTTTTTTTTAGTTTTAAATTTATTCATATTTTATTCTTTTTTTTCAAATTATTTACTAAGTTTTATTCTTTTTATAAAAGTCAAATTTGAAAATGTTTTTTATTTGAGTTCAAAAATTTTTTTAATCTATATCAATTTTATTTAATAAGTGTATTTAAAAATATTATATATAAAAATCTGGTTGAACTATATTGAATCAGGTCGAACCCTCCAGTTTAATGAACTCCTCCCTTCACCGGTTTACTGACCGGTCCGGTTCTCAGAACACTGCTTATAACAATTAAATCAGAACCCCTCTATAATCTTTCTCTGAACACACCCAAGTTCTCCGGCCTTGGCACTATCACCTCAAATTTTTGGATGCTCAGTCTTTGTTCATATTCCAGAGACTGAACGTTCGAAATTTGATCCCTGCGCAGTCAAATGTGTCTTTGTGGGATATGGGATTAACCAAAAAGGCTATCGTTGCTATAATCCCAAAACCCGTCGTATGTACACCACAATGGACTGCGATTTTCTTGAAATTGAATATTTTATGCCACACCCAACACAGTGGTCTGGGGGTGAGTAAAACAGAAATTAACCCACTGAATTGGTTACTCAGTACAACTTTGTCTGTCGGTGAATCCAACCAAAAAGTTGAGCCAGCTTCAGACAATGTAGAAACTATCAAATTCATTGACACACCTTGGACTCCACAGTTGGATGTCCAGGAGGTAACTACCCAAGTTCATAATGATTTTACTTTCGCTTCACATTACTCTGAACATGAACATACAGCTCCAGAAACAGAATTAGTTGAGACTACAGGGACATATATTCTTTCTCATAAAAGCACCCGAGGTATACCTCCGAAGAGATACTCACCAGAACATGAACCCAAAACGTCTAGATATCCAGTGGCTAACCATGCCAGGGGGAGTTTGTCCGAAGTAGCCAAAGTGTTCACAACAATACTATACACTGAAGATATTCCTAGAACAGTACATGAGGCTCAACAAAAGAAGGAATGGAGATAGGCTATGGAAGTTGAAATAGAGGCTCTTGAAAAAAATGGAACCTGACAAAAGTGCAAACTACCTACTGGAAAGAAGACAGTTGGATGCAGATGGGTTTTTATAGTGAAGCACAAGGCAGACGGAACCATAGAAAGATATAAAGCTCAGCTTGTGGCAAAGGGATACATTCAGACATATGGAGTGGATTACTCAGAAACATTCAGTCCAGTAGCAAAAATTGAGGGGGAGTGTTAGAAGAATAAATTGTATAAGGAAATGATTGACCACCTTAATAATAGGATCAATCCTTTGTACAATAAAAGGAAAGGATTGAAAACTTTAGCATCAATCATTTTCTAAATTAGATGATACAAGATCCCTAGAATTATATTAAATTGTCTACAAATTATCTATAAGACAAGAGTTGTGCACAAAAAAAAATTATAATGAGAATTGAAACCTCTTCTTCAAACTTAAAACTCTAAATCTAAGAATTTTTGTGTGGTGTTTTAGTGCTTATCCATCTTGTGACTATGAATTGTGCGTTCTAATTAAACTTCTAAAAATGTCTGTTTAATGCCCGAAATGTGACGGTGGCTTCAATTAGTTAGGACCACGCAGCAAGTCAATAATCTGACAAAAAAAAAAAAAAAAAAAAAAAAAACCACGCAGAAGTCAATAATCTGACAAAAAAAAAAAAAAAAAAAAAAAAAAAAAAAAAGAAGCAAAGGCCAAATTTGCCATGGTCTCCAATGCCCTAATGCAGGTTCGTTTCGCTATAAAAGCACAGACACTACGATTCGGTTAAATATTATTATAGCCACTTCAATCAAGATTCTCTTTTAAAAAGAAAAGAAAAGAAAATATCAATTAGTTATTGAAGAAGAAAGACATGGCAAAAGCAGAAATGAGATGAGTAGCAGAGGGAAAAGATGGTCTCTCAAGGGAAAGACTGCTCTTGTCACTGGAGGAACCAAAGGCATAGGGTATTTCTAATTTACTTATTCTTTCATTTTCCTCTCTTCTTTCATTTCATGCTTATATTAGTTTTCTTTGGAGTTCAGACATGCTATAGTAGAAGAATTAGCAGAATTTGGGGCAGCTGTGCACACATGTTCTCGCAACCAAAAAGAGCTTGATCAGTGTTTACAAGAATGGCAGAGCAAAGGCTTCAAAGTAACTGGATCTGTATGCGACGTATCAAATCGAACCCAAAGGGAAAAGCTTATAGATGTAGTTTCCTCCATCTTTGATGGAAAGCTTAACATTCTTGTAAGTTTTCTTCTTTTTTTTCTTTCTGATGTTTCTCTTTTAATGGTTTAACCAAGTGGATAAGTTTTCTTGTTCCGTCTCAATCTCATTTTTTAAATAAATAATTTTTCGATATATTAATTTTTTTTCCGCAGTTATGTGGATTTTTATTGAAATATTAAAAAGGTAAAAAAGAAGCCTTTTTAATTAAATTGGAAATTGGAAACTGAAGTCCTACATATGCTTAAATTAGGTCAACAACGCAAGGGACATGTAAATTTTAAAAGAAGCCTTAAAAGGATATGGGCTGAAGACATTTGACCATTATGAGTACAATTTTGAGTTCAGCATATCATCTAAGTCAGCTTTCGCATCCTCTCTTAAAGGCATCAGAATATGGAAATATTGTAAATATCTCTTCCATTGGAAGCATTGCTGCTTTCCCTCTTGGTGCTCTCTATGCAGCATCCAAAGGTATGATATTGTGCTTCTTTTGCCCTTTTACTTATACATGATACATAATAATATAATTATGTCTTTCGGCCATAACTTTATATTATAGCGGTAATTATTGATAAAATTTTACCATATAATAAATATTTATTACTAATAGCTATCAGCTACTGGCCACCAGCCACCACATATTAATTATTAACTAACACAAACTGATCTTTAGTTTTACTTCTTGAAAATTTTGTTAAAATTGATCTATTTGCTATTTAAAAAACATAACAGTAAGCTTATCGTACGCAGTTAATTATTTCACTTGATTAATTGATAAGATGGATGATGATAAGATGGGATGAATTTGGGGGCAGGAGCCGATGCAAGCAAATTAACAAAAATTTGGGCATGTGAATGGGCAAATGACATGATTCGAGGTTAAATGCAGTTTTACCAGGATTACAGATACCCCTCTTAGATCTTGCAAGAAGGTTTTCTATAATCAGTTTTTAACAGTTTTTAATAATTAAATATTTAAAAGATGAAAAAGCAAATTTTTACTCAATTGTGATTAATGAAAGTGAAATAGTTTTGACATATGAATATTGAATCAGTTAATATTTTTCTCTTTTATAGAAAAGTTGGGATAATCCTGAAGTTGAGGATCAAATCACTCGTGGTATCCCTCTCTCTCGAGAAGGAAAACCTGAAGAGATTGCATCAGTGGTGACATTCCTTTGTTTACCTGCTTCTTCATATATCACTGGCCAAATTATAATTGCTGATGGAGGATTTACTGTGAGTCGCTTCTAAATTTTACCCAATAAAAAAAACAAAATAGTAATTATTTTTGTTGTATTCTGAATTAGACAATATCTATTTTAGTAATTAAAAAATTTAAATAAAGTTTGAATCTGTGGAGAAACCATATGTAACGTGCTAATCTATTACTAGAAGTGTTAATTTAAATTGGTGTTAATTTAAATTGGAATTATGCATCTTTTGTGATGGAATCAACTTGGCTTGCTTTTTCATGCACAAGAAGAAAACAATTGGAATTTTAGGTTAGACAAGCACGTTTACCCGCAGTATGTTTCGGGCTTGCTACTGTATTTTTATCTATTCAATGTCTACTTTGGTACTTTTATTTAAAAAAAATATTCTATTCACAAATTACTATTTTACTAATAGAAAATTTATTCGACTAATACATGTAAACTATATTTTGGGATATATTTAAAATAATTTTATAATTATATTAGGAGAACAAAATTATCCTAACGCTATTGCGCCCTTAAATTTATTTTTATTTTTTAATATTAGAGAATTTTGTAAGAAAAATATATAATTCACATTTTTGTTTGTTTGCTCATTTTTTGCTATAAAAATATTGAATCCACAAAAAGATAAAGTAATTTTTAAGCTTCTAAATTTCTCAAATTTTATTTATTAAGTGATATAAATTTTTAATAATTTATCAATTACCTTCATAAATTGCTCATGAATCTTTTAATTAGTTCTAGTAAAAAAAATTCTTAAAGTGAAAAAAAAAATTAAAATGGTCAATAGAACAAATATATATATATTATATTATATTATATATATATAGTATATATATTATATATTTGTAATCATATTCATATATATTGTTGCAACACAATAAAGGAAGAAAATCAACCATTAATAGTTTTCTGCTTATTAATGACTATCATATTAATAGTTTTGCATCTTTAAGAGCCAAAATCCATTTGCAGGGATGGAATGATTTGAACATAAGCATATATAGAGGGTAAAAATTGAATAAAATAAAAAGATGATGGTTTAAAAGAGAATTCACTGTTCTTATTGTATTTACCAGTGAAATGAATTTTACCGGTCAATTTGTATTTACCATATTGCTTTACTTTATTTATTTTTCTAGATTATTACCTTTCTTATTTTCTTTCTTTTTCTATTTTTTTATATTATTATAATTGAAAGAAAATTAGAAGAAAATTTTGAGATTTTGTTTCTATCGAAGAAGAGATGTAAGACAATAAAAAAAAGTAAAAATAGAGAATAAATTGAATGTGTGTTTAGATTTTAGATTTAATACTCCCTCTATGCTATATATATGCGCGCATAGTTTGACTTTGTCGTGGATTTAGAAAAATGTTTTAATATAGTTTTTTTTTTTTTTATAGTTTTTTTTTTTTTAGTTTCTTCTAAATTACCATTCTTCTAATATTAAATGATTCATAATAATTCATTAAATTTTGAGTCTATAAATATAAATTAAATGACAATCAATCACTCATCCGTCTCGAAAAGATAGCCCTTTTTTTTAAAAGGAAGACCATATTAATAATATAAAATGGAAAATATAAATTGCAATTAATGAGAATAACTAGCTTGATAATCTTTTAAAATTCAAGAGGAAAAAAAATAGAAAAACAAAACTACTTATTAAATAATATACGAATTTGAAGGAAAACTGACTTACGAAAAATAATGAATTAACGGGGATTACTAAAAATAAGATAAAACTTAATAAGGATATAATAAATAATTTAACTATATATACAAAAAGTACGTGGATTATAGTTTGGGATAGACCAAAATTGAAAGATAGATTATCTTTTTAGGCAAAGGAGTATGAATTATTTCTCTTCAAATACTAAAAATAAGAAAATTAAAAAGTTTAAATACTACAAATGTAATTAACGTTTTTCTTTTTAATGAAGGCCAATACAGCTTTCGTTTTTTAAAATCATGTGAGAGTTGTATGAATCCACTCCTTAGCTTTGTAGAATAAACTTTCTGCTTTCATTTTCAAAATTGAAAAAAAATCCATTTTCAAATTGAAACAAAAAAAAAAAAAAAAACAAGTGGAGAAATCTGATTTTCGATTAGGCTTTTACTACAATAACAATAATAATTATTCTGTATTGATACAGAATCTTCATTAATTGACACATGTATTAAAAGAAACCTATTGTAAACAAGGCTTTACTCCATTTGTTGCTACTATTTCTTTAATCTATATATTTCCTAATTAATTTTTTTTATCCATATATATTTTCTATCCTGCAAACATATTATATAAATATTATCTAATGATAAATTAAAATTTATCCTCAAAAAAATTAGAAATTCAAATTCAATGTAGCAATAAAATTTTTTCTAGTATTATTTAATGTAAAAAGAAAAAATAAAATATTACTTTCATTTGAAATCGTGTAAATATAATATCATATAAGAGCAGTTTTATAAAGATAAAAAATAGATTAAATTATTACAGGCATAAATTCTTTTAATTAAAAATTTTGTAAAAATATATTAATTACAAATTCTATCTTCCAATTTACAAATTGAAGGTTATAAATCATGATACAATGGACCTTTAACATTAATATAAATTCTGGAAAACACCAAAACAAATTTTATTACGAAGGCTAAGATGAGTTACATAAAAATTTAATTTTTAAAAATTGTAAAAAATATAATTTTACGAAAAAATAAGATGATCAGTAAACTTTCAAAATTACATGAATTTTAAAAATATTTTATATATATAATATATAATATATATATATATATATATATATACACGTGTAATTTGATGTTTTAAAAATTAAATAAATATTTTTATGACTAAAAATACAATATGAATTATTTTTAAAAAATGTAAATGAATTTAAGATAACAATCAATTAGTTAAACAACAAAGTAGAAGTAATAAGGTATAATTTATATAGTTTAATTTATACAATTTGATATTATATAAGCGTAGAGATTTATAAGTCAAACATTGGAGTTGCATAATTTAATTTTTTTAATTAAAAAATATTTTATTGAACAATAATGAGATGTCGTGTATGTATGATATAATTTAAATTACATGATACAAGATAAATGTTTTAACAATAAAAGAATAGAAATTTATAATTATTTATTAAAACTTTAAATAATTTATGTTGAAAGTAAATGAATTTAAGTGTTGAGACAATTATTTTTATCTTGATTTTCATGTTTTAGCGAATATAGTTGTGAGAATTATAGTTGTGTCGAAAATAGTAACTTTTTTTTTAATTTACACAATTAAATAATTTTTATATTTTAATAATAAAAAACTAAATGTTCTACTTTTAATAATTCATTCTATAAGTAACAAGTCATTTGATCAATTTCAAATCTATTGGTCGATATCTAACTAGTGTAAATCTAACGGTGAAGAAAGATTCTGTATTAGTATAGAAATTTTTAAATTTGTACTGTAGTTTTACCCTTCTGATTAAACCGCACAACCTCCACCAAAATAAAGAAAATTAGAAAAAAAAAAAAAAGAAAAGCTAGGTTTATATACGAAATAAACTTGTGCTTTCATTTCTATGATCAAAGAAACAAACAGCCAAAAAATTAGATTTTTCAATTTAATGGTAAATATGGTACACATATATATATATATATTCTGATTCAACGGTGTGTGTGTATATATATATATATATATATATACTAGTGTCTGCGTGGAGTAATATAAAAGGATGGAATATCTTTTGTCATGACATCATTCAAAAATAACAAAATTGTACATTAAAATGATTGTGAAATGCATTACAAAATTATATCTCATTGAAATATGCTGAAAAAGTTGCAATATTAAGATGTGTCTTCTTAAGTATCCTGCAAAACAATTCACCAAGATATGCAATAGCAAAAATCATGCATGGTATGACATGCATAAAAAATGCACACACACTATTAATGTATTTTTCAACAGCGGCAATAATTTTAAGAATTTAATTAATTATATTAAAATAAGAAATTATATTAAAATAAGAAATTAAATATTTTTGTATTTTATGTTTATGATTTATTATAACTAATTGTTTATTTATTTGAAAATATTAATGTATTATATTTAATTAGTGTTTTCTAAGCGTATGAAAATTTTACTTTTTTAAAAATTATCAAATTCGTACATTTTCGTATCTTGTGTCCCGTGTCCTTGAAACCTAATTCCTGGCATATGAGATTACTTCATATACCAA